CCACCCTTCCCACACTCTGGGACCCTCCACCTCTCGAGCCATCATCCTGCTTCTGTTTTTCCAGAGTCTAGTGTCAAGGATCATCTCTATTCACTGTCTACCTTGCAGCTTCCATTTGTTCTTCCACCCTTTCTAGTCTGATTTCTGCCCCTACTTCTTGGCATTGAGTGATGAAATCAGCTTCTTCCAAGCCGCCAAATCCAACAGTGTTCTTTCAGTCCTAGAGTTACTGCCCCTTCAGCCATCTTTGGTGCCCCTCTTGGAAGAGCTCTTCATGACACCAAACCTGCATTTCTCTTGCCAAACTTCTCAGTCATTCGGGCAGACTCTGACTGCTGATTGTCAGAGCCCTCGAGACTTGGTCCCAGGCTCCACTCTAGGTCAGGGGTTGGCAAACTTTTTTTGCAGGAGGTCAGAGAATAAACACATCCAGCTTTATGGGCCATAGGGTCTCTGATGCAACTAGTCCTCTCTGCCCTTGTAACATTACAAAAGCCACAGGCAGCATGGGTCTAAATAAATGGCAATGGCTGTGTTCCAATAAAACTTTATTTACAAAAGCAAGCAGCTGGCCCCTGCTCTAGTTGATCCTGCCCAGCTGGATGGCGGATGCACGCATAGTCATCTGGACCTGCGTTATCCATCCACCTGACATTGCTGCAGTGGTGCCTCTTACTCGCTTCAACTTGATGTTTAACTAACGCTGATTCCTTTTTCCCTCCATCTTCCCCATTTCTCCAGGAGAACAACCTAACCTGAAACCAGAGGTCATTCTCCCTTCTTCCTATCCCCCGTGTCCAGTATGGCGGCATCCCAGCTCCGTCTGATCTCATTTTACCAGTAGCCAGAAGGGTCTTCCCAAATATCAGATCACTTCAGTTCCTGCTTGCCTCTGCCAGCGAGTGGATGTCTAAGACCTTCACCCCACTTGTCATCTTGCTCTGCTCTCTCCTTGCAAACTCCCTGGTCATCCCAGCCTGTTACTGGTCCCACCATGTCAGGTCATCTCCCGCCTTGAGGGATGGGTATTCCCTGGGATTTTAGAAGCTACCTTACCTTCATTTTAGTTTGGGGAAAATCTAGAACCAACATTCACCCAAGGGGGTTCCCTGTTGTTGCCACATCAATCAACTTGGACTCTAAGGTTCGAACCTAGACCCAGTACCTAGGAGCAGAACTGGTGACTCATTAACTCTTGTCTGTGCCCATTGAATGGAGAGCTTAGTCACCTACTTTTGCAGGATTGAAAGATTAGAAAAACATTAATGGACCTCTTCCAATGTCCCCTGAAGAAAAATTAGTAGGCCCTTGGGGCCAAATGAGAATCCATCTCTGCCCAATGTGATATTCAGTCCTAGGCCTTACTTCTAACTGCTGTCCTAAGGGGCAAGGCAGCAACCTCATGACCTAGCATTGATTTGAAAGTACTCCAATTTCAGAAACTTGTTACCTAGTTAGTTTTTCTACTTTAAAGATACTTACTGGTATGGTTGATGAAACGAGGGCCAGCAGATATGGAACGGCATTGCTCGAGATAACGAGGTCTCTGAATTCTGGGCCATCACCTACAAATAGATAAAAATGTGATATTCAGGGGACACCTGGGTGGCTCAGTCCGTTAAGTGTCTGCCTTCAGCTCAGGATATGATCCTGGAGTCCCAGGATAGAGTCCCTGGATTTAGCCTCGCCTCGGGCTCCCAGCTCAGCAGGGAGTCTGCTTCTACCTCTGCCCTTTACCCTGCTCATGGTCTCTCACTTGCTCACTCTCTCTCTCTCTCAAATAAAATCTTTAAAAAAAATTTTTTTTAAAAGAATGTGACCTTCAAATAGGGAGCAAAAAGAATCCTGAGCTAAGTGACTAATTTTCTAAAACCCTGTGTAAAGGGTGAGAAGCCAAAACACATCCCCAGGCTAGACAAGTATATAGCATAGCCATGAACTAGATCCTGGGTCTCCATCATGTCCTTTGGGTAGATAGGCCAGAGGTGAAGAGCAGACACCACACAGCAGCAGTCTGTGGACACATGAAGGAGTCAACCAATGGGCCCAGGAAGTGCCCTTGAGACTCTAAATGCTGGTGGCACTTCACAACACAGATCTCAGGAAGATGAAGGCTATTGCAGGCCAAATCGTCTTTCCAGGAGACTTTGGCATGGGGTGGAATCTTCCAAATGCAGCTCAGAATCTAGCCTAAGAGGTGGGTCAATGCTAGCTACCTGCTGTCTGCTTCTCAGGTGAGAAAACTGATTTGAGACCTTAGCAGTCTCCATTTTTAATTCTTCAACCGTTGGGGAGCCTGGGTGGCTCAGTGGGTTAAAGCGTCTGCCTTTGGCTCAGGTCATGTTCCCAGGGTCCTGGGATCAAGCCCCACATCAGGTTCTCTGTAGAGGGAGCCGGCTTCCTCCCCTCTTTCTCTCTGCCTGCTTCTCTGCCTACTTGTGATCTCTATCTGTCAAATAAATAATAAAATCTTTAATTCTTCAACCACCAAGGCAAGGCATAGGTTACTTTAAACCACCCAATTTTGCCTGTTCTTTATTGAACCAAGCAAAACGAGGGACAAAGTCTCTGTAATAGGTGCTTCCTTTCTGCAAGCATTTAACAAGCAGACTTATTTTATATTCTGTGTTTGCTAATCCCAGTATCTGAAGTCCTTGGAGGTCTAATCATACTGTTTGTTTCTGCTGACTCAGTCATGGTGGGTTGTTGATTCTCTGAACTCGAAAATGCTAATATTTGGTTGATCATGATTTATCAAAATCCTGAGGGGCCCAATTGAGTTCATATGCCCCCAGGAGCTTTGTATTTATTTTCAGCCAGGAATCCTGGAGCTTCCAAACCTACAGCACTAACTCTTCATTTTATGCTTTCCTGGACCACGTAGGGAATACAGCATCAAGCCCCAAATTCACGAGGCCATAGTAGGGTTGTCTTTACAGGACAGACCTTTACCCCACATTAAGCAAACACTTTTCTGGTCTGTTCTCTTGGCAACTTTCGCCGGAGGTAGCATTCTTTCAGGCTCCTGGGTGATGCAAGGGTCTGTCCTAAGTACAGCACAGGTCAAAGAATTATCTTTGGTTCATGAAGCCATTAAGACCTGAGGCTGTAGGACCCCGGTATTGACAGATGTCACCAGGCAGCCCATAGCTTCGGTACACACTGCATTATCTGGTTGCACTGGTCATCACTTTAATTCAGAGTCGGACTCTGAACCTAACTCTGGATTTTGGAAAAGCCTGCCGTACTCTTCCCAGCATTTCTAGATATGTATACTGAGAATATAAAATCTTTATGCTGCCCAAAGCACTCCCATAGCATGCCAGACGGCTGCCCACTGGTTTCCTCCCCACCCTGAGGAGAGAGTCTCACCTGCGATATTACCAAGAGCCCACACCGCCTGTTCGCACACAGTCATGTGGGGGGAAGACAGGAGCTCAACCAAAGGTGGGATGGCCCCACCTTCCACAACAGCTTGAGTCTGCTCTGAAGTCCCAGAAGCGATGTTGGTCAGAGCCCAGGCTGCCTCAAACTGCAGGCAGGGGTGAGGCGACAACTTCAGGAACTCCACCAGCCTGGGGATGAGCCCTGCTTCAACAATCAATTTTAGAGGAGGGTTCTTTTCTTGGGACAGCATTTTCCTTTGCAATGAAAAGAGAGGGGGAGGAATATATATGTATGTATGTATGTATATATACGTGTGTGTGTGTGTGTGTGTGTGTGTATGTATATATGACAAGTCATGTGAGGCCGATATTAAGAATCTCCTTTATAAACATTCCTGGCATTCCTAGCTATCGAATGAGACTAAAATCTGGGCCAGAGCTCCTTAATATTCTAAAGTTCAACCTATAGCACTTTGCAGTGATAAAGCAACATTTTTCCCTTTAGGTATTATCTATGAGCGGAGATTCCTATAGAGGCCAATTTAAATTAAGCAATTCATCTCTGACAACACTTGCATATCTTAAGTTGTTCTCAAGGACAGTGTAGAGAAACAATTTAGTCTTGCTTTTGAATGGACTCGCCTCTTATATCATGTGGGCATTTGGCCAGTGCCACGAAACCAAATAGGCCACTGGAGCTCATTTCTAGCTAGGAATTTGTAAACCATAGAAGTCTGTTTGGCAGTACCTGGCTGCCTGGGTGGCCTGGAAACACAGGTCTGGATCTGAGGCATTCACGCCACTGATTATTTCTTGCAGGGTGAGGCTGACCTGCAAGGAGACACACATTCAGGTCAGAGTCTCTGCCCACAGGAACCATGAAGGTCATCTAGTCCAGCCATCTATCTGATTAGAACAGGTTGGCTTGGACAGTATCTCCCAACCTGCACATTGGTCTACGTTAGGGGACAGAAGAACACTTGGTAGTCTTGTAAGTCTCATGGATCTGTGGGACACTCCCCATGTTCTGGGGAAGGGTTAATTCCTATCATCACTTGGATCCCCAGCACCTTTTCATCCCGTGCAGTAAGAATAGGTTAGGGATGACCAGCAAAAATGGCAGAGGAAGTACTTCCAAAATTCTCTCCTCCATAAAAACAAGAAAACCTACACAAGTAGATCAACCTTCCAAACTCTAGAAATGGACCGAAGGCTTGAAGCCATTTGTTTTCTTTGAGCCAAAAAGAGATTGTTCAAGAAAAACAGCTAATCTCAGGAAGAAGGATTCTAGGGAAAAAAGTGCATCAACATATGAACGGGATTATACATCATGACCAACTAGAATTTAATCCAGGAAGGCAAGGGCTGTTCAACATATGAACATCAGTATAGTAGGTCATAGTAATAGGATATAGGGGGGAAAGCACACAATCATCACAGAAAATTCAGGATAAGCATTTGACAAAATTCAGGCACACTTCCATGAAAATAAACATTCAGCAAGCTGGAAATAAAAGGCAATTTCCTCAACCTGATAAAGCCATCTAATAAAACCCCAAATAGCTAGCGCTATACTTAATGGTAAAAGATGGAAAGTTCCCCCTTCAGATCAAGAACAAGACAAGGATGTCCACTCTTGTTATTCAACATCATATTGGAAGTTCCAGACAGATTAATTAGGTAAGAAAAAAAGAAGTCATCCAGATTGGAAAAAGAAGTAAGATTATTGCTATTGGCAAAATTCAAGAACTTGTATAAGGAAGATCCTAAGGAATACCCCCCCACACACACACACACAAATAGAGGTTCAGGTAGGTTTCAGGATTAACATATAAAAATCACTTGTGTTTCTATATGCTAGCTATGAATAATCCAAAATTGAAATTAAGAAAATAACTTTATTTTCAGTGACTTTGAAAAGAATAAAATACTTGGGAACAAATTTAACAAAACTACATGACTTATATGCTGAAACTATAAAAAAATTTAGAGGGGATCTAATAAATTAAAAAATACCTATGATCATGAATTGGAAGACTTCACATTGTCAAGATGGGACTACTCTTAGAAACTGATCTATAGATATGGTGTAATTTCTGATAAATTCTGAGTTATCTTTACAGAAGATATTGACAAATTGGTTCTAAATTGGTTCTAAAATTCATATGGAAATGCAAGAGATCCCAAATAGCCAAAATAATCTTGAAAAAGAAGATTATTCTTGGTTGGAAGACACTTCCCAATTTCAAAACCCACTACAAAGCAATCAAGTCTGTGTTGTGCTGACATAGGAGAAACATATTGATCAATGGAAAAGAACCCAGAGTCCACAAATAAACTCTCACATTTATGGTCAATTGATGTTAGACAAGGGTTTTAAGAACATTCAGTGGGAGAGAGGATGGCCTTATGATGCTGGGACAACAAGGTATCTACATGCAGGATAATGAAGTTGGACCTCTACTCACACCATTTACAAAAATTTACTCAATTGGATAAAAAGGTCTAAACATAAGAGCTAAAACCATTAAACTCTTAGAAGGAAACTTAGACATAAATCTTTGTGACCTTGGAGCACTCAAAGGAGTCTTAAATAGGATATCTAAATCATAAGCGACCGAAGACAAAAGTAGACAAATTGAGCAGTTACAAAATTTAAAGCTTCCATGCTTCAAGGATTCTACCAAGAAAATAAAAAGACAATCCACAGAATAAGAGGAAATATTTGCAAATCATATATCTGGTAAGGGTCTAGTCTCCAGAGTAGATAGTAGATAGTATAAAGAACTCTTACAACTCAACGATAGGACAAATTACTCAAGTTTAAAAATCAGCAAAGCATAAATGGACATTTCTCCAAAGAGATCTACAAATAGCCAATAAGCTCATCAAAAAATTATCATCAGTCGTTAGGAAAACATATCAAAAGTGTAACCATATAGACCTTTGAACCCTCTAGATGTCTATAATCTGAAAGCAGACGACAACAAGCATTGGCAAGAAGGTCAGAATGTACAAAGGTACAGCTACATTGGAAAATAGTCTGTCTACCTATTTGTTTCCTATTGTTACTGTAAAAATCACCACAAATTTAGTGGCTTCAAACAAGATATTCTCTTGATCGGTTTCACTGGACTAAAGGCAGATCTGGCACCTCCTGGAGGCTCTAAGGGAAGAATCGGTCTCCTTCCTTTGTTCAGCTTCTGGTGGGGCCACCTCTGTTCCTTGGCTTGTGACCCTCTCCTTCCATCTTCAAAGCACAACGTGTTAATCTCTGCTTCTGTGGTCCTCTCACCTTCTGCTCTAACTTGTCCTTCACCCTTATTATAAGGACTGATGTGATTACACTGGGCCCATCCAGCTAATCCAGAATAATCTCCCCTTCTCAAGATCCTCCACTTAGTCCTACCTACAAAGTCCCCTTTGTCACACAAAGTAACATTTACAGGCTCTGGGGATTGGGAGATGGAGCTATTTGGGGGAGGGGCATTATTCAGTGTACCATAAGCAGTTCCTCAAAGAGTTAAACTGGATGATCATAGGACGCAGCCATTCTACTCCTAAGTATACTCAACAGAATTGAAAACACGTCCACTCAAATACTTGAGCACAAAGCAGCATTATTCATAATAGCCAAAAAGTGGAAACACAAGCCCACTGACCAATGAATGGATAAACAAAATGTGGTATATCCATACAATGAAAATTTTTTTTTATTTATTTGAGAAAAAGAGAAAGAGAGCACAAGACGGGGAGGGTCAGAGAGAGACGCAGACTCCATGCTGAGCAGGGAGCCCAATGCGGGACTCGATCTTGGGACTCCAGGATCATGACCCAAGCTGAAGGCAGTTGCTTAACCAACTGAGCCCCCCAGGTGCCCCCATATGATGACGTATTAATCTGCTATAAAAGGGATAAAGTACCAACGCATGTTACAACACGGACAAACCTCAAAGACATTACTCTGAGTGAAAAAGTACATATGGCAACTTAGGGATTGTGTACAACCATTCTGTTTGATGACCACTAGCGCATCATTGGATCCACTTGCTGGACTGAACTCATCTCTGTCCCGTAAGAGTCCTGACCCCAGTCAGGTGCAATGATGCATGTGGATGGCTAAGGTGGGACATAGATGGTGGCAGATCACAAAAGGCATGCAGATACAAGGCTACTGGAGTCAAAGAAGAGAAAGTCCCCCATCAGGGCATTCCAGAAAAGATCTGAAAAACAATGTTGGCCTGCAAGTCAACCCAGAACTTGCAATGAGAGAGGCTGGGGTGGATGGAGAATGGAAGACAGAGGACAGCATTCAGGTCCCAGACAAGACTTTAGGTTTAGCGACTGGATTCTTCTAACTGAGAAAGAACATTTGTAACCCCTCATTTCCTATTTTGGCCCAAGTGGTAGCAAGTGAATTTCCATTAGAAGCAGCACCTTGTGTACTGCTCAGAACATAGATCTCAGATCAGTCACAAACCTAACAGACTTCAGCTTTCCGAAACCCACCAGTTCAGCTCGAGTCATCTCTCCACCCCTCTCCTCAAAGACCCTCCATTAGAGCTTGCAAGTGCTGAATCTAGTACACATTTTCCAGTCAGAGAAACTTGCTAAGGATGTATTTCACACCCAACTGTCCTGAACACCACATTCCCAACATACCCCTTTGGTTAGCTGTCCAGAAGCTGGTTCAGGGGAGAAAATGGTGATATTTCTTCTCTTTAAGGCCTGCTCATCTTTCTTGGCCTTGCGGAGTTCCAGGCTGACTGCCATGCGCTGTTGCCGCCGGATCTAGTGAGGAAAAGAAAGAACTGGAGCCCCTAGAGAGCAGGGAAGTCAGGTTCTCACTACATTTCACTTTTAGCACACACTTCAAAGTGTTGGATGTCACTTTTACAGATACAACAGGCTGGAAGAGTTAAGATCACACAGTAAATAGTCTCAGCATGGTGTACCTCTTCCACTTTCTCCTACTACACCATGTCCCCCAAAATTGTCAACCTTCTTCCCAAAGTGAGGGAAGACCTATAGTCTTGGCAGGCCAGGACGCTCTCGTCTGTAGAGCTATCTGAGCAAAGCAACCCATCGCTCCAAGTCTGAGCCCATCCTCCCCAGCGCTGATTAGTCCCTGAGGAGCAGGTATAGGCCTCCCAATTGTGGGGATCCAGGCAGGGCTGGGGGTCTATGAAGTCTATGAAGACATGCCCCACATGACCCTGACCATTTCCATCATTAGGGATCCATCTACAGATCATTCAAGCCTTGATCCTGTCCAGTCCCAGGGGTTTTACTTGGAGGCCAGACTGAGGGAGATTATAGTTAAAAACAAAACAAGGGGCACCTGGGTGGCTCAGTGGGTTAAGCCTCTGCCTTTGGCTCGGGTCATGGTCTCAGGGCCCTGGGATCGAGCCCCGCATCGGGCTCTCTGCTCGGCAGGGAGCCTGTTTCCCCCTCTCTCTCTCTGCCTGCTGCTCTGCCTACTTGTGATCTCCCTCTCTCTGTCAAATAAATAAATAAAATATTTAAAAAAAAAAAAAGATATACCCTTTTTCCTGGATCAGAAGAAATGCAGACATTACTAGCATCGAGAATCCTGGAGGAAATGACCTCTTCTTTAGATCTCTATTTTGCCATATATGCTTTGTCATCCCCATGTCCTGATCCTTCACTCCATTTTTTTTTTTTTTTAAGAGGAGTGGGCACGTGCTTGAGCATACATGCTCGTGAGTAGGGGAAGGGCAGAAGAGAGGGAGAGACTTTCAAGCAGGGTCCATCCTCCGTGCAGAGCCCCTGGGGCTCACTATCACCACCCTGAGATCACATCCTGAGCCAAAATCAAGAGTTGGACGCTAAACCGACTACACCACCCAGGCGTCCCCAACCCCACCCCACTCTGATGCATTTCAACCATGAGACTTTCACTGCACTGCTCCTCCACAGACTGAAGCGGTGGCTGGGTACTCACAGACGCATCTTTGCCTCGGTACTTGAATCTTCTCAGCCTCCCTTCTGGAGCGTCTAAAGTCGGCATATTGACGGGAAGCAGTAATCCACCTGCAGGTAAGACAGTTGCCAGGAGATGGTCAGTGCCCAGCATGTGGGTGCCTATGTCATCAGCCATCCTTGCTGTAAGCCCTGGAAGGTTTCACAGGGGGTTGGTGAGCAGATGCAAGAAGTCAGCTTCCATAGGCATCACCACACTGGCTCAAGAGTCAACGAGCACCATGGGAACCAGAGGAGACCAGCCCTGGGCTGCAGGAGTGAGGGCTACCTTTTGGAGGCAATTCAGCTTTAACCGGGTCTTTGATGGCTTGGGTAGGTTGGAAGGAAAGCACAGAACCCTTTTCTTGTTTGTGCGTCCTCCTCCCTCTCCCCGCAAGGACAATGAGGTCATGCACATCTTAGGTACGATTCCCCAGCCCTTTCACAGTGCATGACATATAGTAAGTAGGTACTCAAGTATTTGTCAGAGGAGGGTGGTGGGTGATAGGTCACAAAGGGAGCTGGTCCCTAATTAGAGGAGGTTATTCAAATTAGGCCACATTTTAACTTTCTATAAGGCAGCGGGGAATGACATTTCTTACAAGGGTGCAAGGAGTACCCATCTGTTTCCAAGTACACAGGCTGAGCCAAACTACATTGCAGAGATGAGAAAACTGGATAAAGACAACCAGAGTCTATTGACTCTATTCTTGAGTGTAGAACAGCTGGGAATGATTTCGGGAGGAAAGACGCATTTAGACACATCAATTTGGATGGGACAGTGTAGACAAGTAGGAGGCTTCCAGAAGTAGAGAGCCAAGACTGAGGTCTTAAGAAGAGAGATGAACTCTGCGAGAGAACAGAACATGAGCTCAGTCTTGGTGACATTCCCTACTAGGGCCCAGAAGAATGAAGAACCAACAAGGGACAAGGAAAAAGAAGGGAATTTGAGTCAGAACAAAAGAATAATAGTGTCCAAGGCCATTGGCAGTAACAGCAGCTACCAGGCTGAGCACAAGTCCCTAAACAAAGTGCCACCAGCCGCCCATAGCTGGGTGGAGCCAATGTGCTGAGCCTCAGAGCGGAGTCATAAGCACCTCAGGCCAGAGAGCAACCACGTCCTATACTTTCATCTACCTTTAAGTAACCTCAAAATCTGCTTTGTAAGGAAGAAAAGTTGCTTTTCAGGACTAAAAGGTAAACCAGAACACTGTTTTTTAATTTTAATTTTTTTTTTAATTTTAAGTAGGCTCTGTACCACACCCAATGTCAGGCTTGAACTCACAACCCTGAGATCAAGAGTCACAGCTCTACTGACTAAGAGAGCCAGCTTCCCCCAGCACATCCTTTTAAAAAAGCCTGGGTGGCTCATTCAGTTAAGTGACTGCCTTCAGCTCAGGTCATGAGTCAGGTCATGAGTCCTGGGATTGAGTCCCGGATCAGGCTCCCTGCTCAGTGGAGTCTGCTTCTCCCTCTGACCCAGCCCCTTCTCACTCTCTCTTACTCTCTTTCAAATAAATAAATAAATAGTTTAAAGAAAACAAACAAGGGGCACTGGGGTGGCTCAGTTGGTTAAGCATCTGCCTTTAGTTCAGGTCATGATCCCAGGGTCCTGGAATGGAGCCCTGCATTGGGCTCCCTGCTCAGCAGGAAGCCTGCTTCTCCTTCTCCCACTCCCCTTGCTTGTATTCTCTGTCTCACTGTGTCTCTGCCAAATAAGTAAATAAAATCTTTTTTAAAAAATAAAAAATAAAAAAACAATAAAACCAGCTCAAGAGTTTTCTATTTGCTTTAATAACCGGGGTTATTAGCTGGGAGTGGAGTTATCAGCTGGGAGTGGAGATTTAGGTTGGAGTGAGGAGCTATACCCTCCATCTCTAAGAGATAAGGCACATGGCATGTTCTTGGTCTGGAGGAGAGTAGTATTAAGGGCTCGGTTCAGGGAGCAATGGGCAAAACACATTTATCACATGCCAGAAATGTCAGACATCTGGGATTAAACGAAGCAACATTAACAGTAAGGTGGGGTTGGGGTGCCTGGGTGGCTCAGTCGGTTAAGCATCTGACTCGGTTCTGGCTAAGGTCTTGATCTTCGGGTCATGATTTGAGTCCCACTTTGGGCTCCATGCTCTGTGGGGAATCTGCTTAGGATTCTCTTTCCCTCTGCCCCTCCCCCCACTCCCACACACTTTCTCATGTGTGCGTGATCCAAAATAAATAAAATCTCTAAAAAAAAAAACATAGTAAGGTAGAGATAGTCCCATTTTACAGATGGGGAAACCATCTCAGAGGTCACTTCCCGAGGAAGCCCAGAGTGCCCACAGCTGTCAGGCATCAGCGTCAGGACTTCAGCCTAGATCTGACTCCTGCGTCCATGGTCGGTATCACCAAGCTTTGCTGCCAACAGGCTGTAAGGAGCTCTGATGAGGAAAACGAGTCACCCCCGTGGGTGGAACTTAACACATGGAGGAGGCATTGGAAATAGGAAAGCACAAGCCTCCGGTGAGGGAGGCCATTTCTGAAATATCCGCTAACGCATTGCTGCTCCATTGCTGTCTCAGTGTCCACGAGACCCTCTGAATGTGCCTCTGTATGAGGCCAGTTTGGTACTAGGGTCTGAAACGCTTTGGTTTCTGACCCAAGGCAGTGCCTGGCTCCAGGACTGTTCCACAAGAACCATTCATCCTTTGGCCACAGCCCAGAGCGTAGGGCCATTAGGGAAACTTGGAAGTGGGTCTGGAGGTTCTTCCCTCAAATATCAAGGGGAAGACGAGTATGGCACAAGCAGAAAAAAGGTCATCTTCAGAGGGAACAGGGTCCGCCCCCTGAAACCACCCCTTCCCAGGGGACAGCTTGAAGGAAGAGTTTGAAAGTCGCAGATGTAGCCAAACCACTCGTTTGGGGACAGTCTGCAAAACGACTTCTGGCTTTCACAGGTTTCTCTCGTCACAGCTCAGAGTGTGCTTCCTTCCCCTCACATTGCTATTTGTGGCATCCAGAAGAACCACTACCCTGTCACCCTTCACCAGTGGCACGAAAGAGCCAAGCTGGAGGCTTTGAGTTAGGCACAAGATCAAAGCCAGAACCTTTCGTCATCAGCTCCCAGAGTCTGAAATCCAAAGAAAGCCAAACTGTTCTTCAGGCAAACAGCACCAACTTAAGGGCTTTATTTACACACACAGCCAGGCCCAGGCCAGCTCTACTCCGCTCCCCCACACACACACACACTAGAGGACCCCCACCCTAGGATCAGGTGGCAGAGGTCCCGCCAAGGGCCACTGGCTATACTCATGGTCTTCCAGGCTCTAAACTAGGGACTCTAAAGTTTTGTTCATGGCACTGAGTCACTTTGGAGCATTACAGGCCATTTTTAAAATACTTTCCTAGACTTAGCCAAGCTTTGACTGTTAGCATCTTTCAAGAACTGAGAACGGTTTTAAATTAAGATCGAAATCATCCAAGAGTTGGCTTCTAGAATGGTATATTTCTCTGATTTTACATTAACACACACTCATGGTGTAGACAATTTAATACCTCAGAAATGTATTGAGCATTAACTCCCATAACCTACCCTCCTCCAAGTTAGCCTTTAAAAACTCACACCCACCCTGAGAGACTAATTATAGAAGGGGAGTTTCATAGACATGGTTTGGCCACACATTTCTCCACTTCCTTATACTGTGGACTTTTTTTTTCCCCCAAGATTTAAGTAATCTCTATGCCCAATGTGGGTCTTGAACTCACAACCCTGAGATCAAGAATCACATGCTCTACCCACTGAGCGAGCCAAGAGCCCCAACTATGGATATCTTTTATGTCGGAATGCTCAGATCTACATCCCTAACAGCCACTTCTTCAAACTCAGTGGGATTTAAGGTAAAACTACACATGGGGTTGGAGTGAGAGTCATTCCCCGGGAAGACCCAATGACCTCACCCCCAGTGTGCACGGGTCAGCAAGCAGGAGCAGCTGGGGCAGGAGTACTGGGAAGAAGAGGCAACCATGGGAGCGTGGAGGCCTGCGGGGGGGGGTTGCCATGGGGTGGCAGAGACCCCACCTTGGTGCTCATGGGGCTTTACCAACATGGACAAGACGTGTCCAGACCCTAAGTTTGATGGAGGGAGACACACAGGTGTCAGGTGTCCCTCCAAGTCTCACACTGGCCCAGAGGGGAAGCAGAGGTCACAGAGGTCACAGCAAGAAAGGACAAAGGAACCCAAGCCCTCTTCCCAGTGATCCTACCTCAGGGTTTGGGAATGCTCTGGGAGGGGGTAGAATCAGCTGGGGATGATTCCCGTGGATGAACATGTCCCAGGAGTTATTTCAGGGAGAGGGAACACAGGTAAAGGTGCAGACACATTGATCTATAGGCTGCTGTATGGTCAGGCTCCCTGTACCCTGCCAGCCCCCATCTGGGCTCTGCAGAGTAAACGGACACCCAGCCATTGCCACATCCTCCTTACCCACCCAGAAAACAAGCCAAGCACCACTTAGCACAATTTCATTAAACTGAGACTGATTTCAACAAGGAGAGACCCAGCCTAGGCCCTCTGGAAGCCGTGCCTCTGAGCAGGCCGCTGACTTTTGCCACGGCAGGGGTAAGGCAAGACTCAGCAGCCTCACCCACCCCCCCGAGCAAGACTAGGAGTCTCGTCAATAACCAGACAGAGGAATCTGGGAGGACACGGCCACATGGAGAGCCCCCGGCACCCACCTACCCACCACTCACCTGGAAGAGAGCCACAGCCTCCAGCCCCCTGACCGGCCTTAAATGCCCTCAGAAGGCAGCAGGTGTTTTGGGGCATTTGACCCTTCCTCCCAGGGTTGGTCTCTGACCAAAATCAATGGATCTTAACTCTAGGTGCAGATTGGAAGCACCCAGGGAGCTCTGAGCTGCTGACCGCCAAGTCCCTAGCCCTGAGGCTGATTGAGTTGGTCCAGGGGGAGGCCCTGATCTCCAGGTGCTTCTCATGTCCAGAAGAGGCACAGAGAGGAGCCTCACGGTTGCCATGGACCTTCGGCTTCGGCGGCGCAGCCTCCCTCAGGGAA